TATGTTTTATTAAAATCATCTGTTATTTTGTCAATTACTGCAAAATATTTAGTGATCATCAGTCTGAATCAAAAAAAGAGTGCGACTCTACACAAGACATTCCCTGTGATGAAACTGACTATTTTGAAGGAAAAGGTAAAACAACAAAATGGAAGAAAGAACACTTTTGAATTCAAAGATTCCCATAACGTCATAAAAAATTGCCTGGCAGTACACATATATCTAAAGATGTGGCTTCACCCATCGATGCATGGAAGCTAATATTGATGACACAATGATTGAAATGATTGTAGGATGATCTAATATTTATGTAAAAAATATTTCGGGAAATTTTAAAAGAGATGCAAAACCTATGGAGAAAGAAGAGTTTCTTGCTTTTTTAGGACTCATATGTAGGTGGATTGCACAAATCCTCCCGTGTAAACGTTAGAGAATTATGGGCGACTGATGGAACAAGATTGGATATTTTTCATAAAACAAATAAACTATATATTTTCTTTTCATTCTTTGTGCCTTACGATTTGATAATGTCGGAACGCGGGATGACATAAGAAAGAGTGATAAATTAGCTCCAATAAGAGATTTGTTTGAAAATTTCGTCGAGATTGTCAGAAATTATATAATATAGGGAAGTACATGACTTTGGATGAAAAGCTAGAACCTTTTCCAAGACGATGCTCCTTTTGGCAGTATATGCCTAAGAAACCTGCAAGATATGGTATAAAGATGTTTACTGTTGCTGATTTTAGAACCTTCTATACTTTGAACATGGGAAAAATATGCAAGGATAAGATTATCCCACCTGAATTTGTGTCGAATAAGAATAGAGAACAGCATTCAACTCTCTTGGGGTTTCAAAAGGATATAATGCTACTTTCTTATATGGCTGAAAAGAACAAATGTGTTAACCTTTTGTCAACTATGCAAAATAATGACCATATTGATGAAAGCACGTTAGATTTAAAGAAATCTCTTGATTTCTTCAATTATTAATTATCTAATTGAATTGCTAATAATATATTATTAATTATTAACAATTCAATTAGTTAATTACGTTTTATAAAATGACAAAAGGAGCAGTTGATAATAGTCGATGAAATGGGTGGCACTTATTCTGTGACCAGAATATCAAACTGATAGGCATATTATTTTTGCTAAATATTGCCGACATAAATTCAAGGATCTTGCTTTTATCTACTAAAACTCCACCAGAGAAGTTCAGGAATAGGAGGCACTTCTGATTTGGCCTTTGCACTTTTATATCCTCATTTGAAATCATAACAGAAACAGTAGGAATACAATGAAGATTCTCAAACAAAGAAAAGAAAATTATGTTACCTGATATGTTACATGTGCTCAAGGAAAAAAAAGACAGAAAATCAAAAACTGTATGTGTGAAGTGTAAAAAAAAAAAAAAAAAAAAAAAAAAAAAAAACAAAAAAAAAAAAAAAAAAAAAAAATGTCAAGAACACTGTGAAATGGAAGCTTCATGTATGAACTACAAAATATCTAATTCTTCTTGAGTCTAATTGATTTGAAAATTAATTATATAACTGATTGTCCATGTAATAATTCTGCATAATTTGGATTATAATTGCATTAAAAAAAAATCTCATAGAAATCAATGATTCCTAGTCATCTGAAGAAAATGTAAGTACATTTATTTGTTATTAATTTTAAAATTAACATTAAGTTATTTTATATAATAAATGTTGCAATTAATACAGAATGCATTATGGTAATGAATTGTAATAATATGTTTCATTTAGATGTCATTTAATTGCTATGCACGTTCTCGTAGTAAATAATACAGTGTGCGTCCTCCCGGGTTAACTACACACCGCTAAATGTCATTATCAACCTATTTATTTTAGTTCTATATGCTAAATATCTTATAACTTGACTTGTACACCGCTAAAATCATGCCTTCCATATGATAAATATCTTGCAACATAACTTTACCAAAGAATGTCTAACAATACATATTTTTTGACTATACACCGGTAAAATCATGGCGAATTAGCCATTGGTGACCTTGGCGAATAAATACGCATCGGCGCCAACGGATCCGCTGCGGAAGAAAACCCAGAATTTGGATAAGCAGGAGAGATTTTGGCGAAGCTGATTTTAGAAGGGTATTTACAATTTCAAAAATCTTAGTGGTACTTAACACAAAACTACAATATGCTTTGTTCAAATCTGAAGAAAGAAGATAGAAAATCCTTTCCTCCCGGCTAATAGAAGACTGTTTCTTCTTCCCTTCAACTTCTTTAACAAAGTTGACCTTTGATGAGTCTTCTAAGCATTTTCTTTTTAAAGGGTTTGATTCTGTGTGTTGGCTTTTCCCTTTTAAAGCATTTTGATTAGAAGCAAAGTTGGTTTTCGGAATCTTATATGCTGACAAATTTGATGGGATCTGTGGTTTCGTTTTGGTCTCTTTGTGGAAATATTTTAGCAATGCATCCCACTGTTCAATAAACCTTCCTAGCACTCTGCCTAAGGATAACCATCTCGTGCATACATGTTTCAGAATTTTTCTCGTTTCACCAGAGCACAGTTCTTGGAAATTCTTTAGGTTTTCTTTCCTTTTTACACTTTTTTCCAGATAGAAAAACACATCAATCACACTGGTCAATATTTAATGATAAAGCAGCTGCAGCTTTTTCTGCTGCCAAATTAATCAGATGGCATGGGCATCCAATAACAATTAATTCATTTTGTTCTTTTTTGAGGAAAGAGGCTACACACTTTTTGTCACCCATTATGCCATGAGCATTATATGCACCAAATGAAATGCAGTTTGATATTGGAATGTTAAGTTGTTTCAACTCATTAATTACCAAGGAGGCAATATTTTACCCCGTAGTATTTCCATTTAACAATGGAAGACGCAAAAGATGAGTTTTCATTTCATTAGAAACATCACAGAAATATGTGACAACGATAGGGTAAAGCTTCCAATCGCTGTCGTTGCTGTCATCGATTGACACCGAAAATGCTGAATTCTGGGGTTCAGCTATTGTTTTACTTTGTGCATCGCAAGCAATTTCGTTCACAATAGAAGATATTTTCGTGCAAGCACAAGCCTATTTCTGAGCAATCTTGGAGTCGGGAAACATCCGTCTGAAAAGTTGAACGGCATGATCGGCAGCGCTTAGCGGCACGTTGTGTTTGATGAGGAATGCAGTAAACAAACACTCTGCCAAAATGACATCGGCATCTGAATTTGAAAAAAAATCATCCACTTTTTTTTGACGTTGTCGAAGTCGAAGCATTAACTTCATGCTTTTTAGACTTAACATGCTTCACAATGTCGCTTCTTCCACCGTGACTTATTATAAAGTCACACACGCACACGTTGCAAAATGCATAGTTATTTCCTTTGAAGGATTCTTTAATTGTTGGAAATTCGGCTTTGTAGGCAGGCCGAAAATACTGAGAATACGGTTTTTTTGAACTCATTTCGTAACAACGACGTATTAAGAAAATTCGTAGCACGTGCAAACAAACAGAATGCGACAATCCACACTTGCTGAGTAATTCCCTTGCTGCTGAAGCGAACGCGGAAAAAATAATCTGGCGCCCACACACACACACACAAAAAAAAAAAAAAAAGTGGGAGAAACAAGTTTAGCGCATTGGATTGGCTGGTTAAGCGGAGAGTTGGGAGAAACTGCAGGTTACTGGATTCGAAGTAGTCGGTAGTTGGTGGTAAAACACGATGCAATTGGCAAAAATCGCTGAATTAGTGAAAATTTTAAAATTTCAACAAAAATCACTAAAAACAATTGAAAAAGGAAAAAAATCGTAAAAAATTGATTATGGTCGTAAAATCGTAAAGACAAACGCATTTTCGTGTTGCTGAATTGAGGAAAAATTCTAAAATTTCGACAAAAATCACTAAAAACACTTGAAAAAGGAAAAAAATCGTAAAAAATGGATTGCGATCCTAAAATCGTAAAGACAAACGCATTTTCGTAAAAGTTGGTAGGTATGTATTTGTAAAAATTAGTCACTTGCAATTTCAATATTCAGTCTATGTAATTATTGTATTTGTTCTAATAAAACAAACATTTCCATCAACCTAGGAATACATTATTAAGCAATTCTTGGGTATTCTGGTAATCATACATAATTTCAAAATATTAATCTTTTCCCTTCCCTTATTATGTAATAAATTAAGTCTAAAACAAAAATCACAGAATAAAATATCTAGAATTCATTTATTTGCAATAAAATGAATGATCATTCTTAAATAATGTCCAATTAAAATGTTTTAAAATGAGTTAGCAGACAATACTTTTACAAAACATGCAACCAAGGAATAAATAATCTGCTAAAAATATAGCATTCATGATAATTTTCACAAGGGCGAAAGTTTCTTTTTATAAACTAAAAAAAAAAAAAAAAAAAAAAAAAAAAAAAAAAAAAAAGAGTAAATATTTAACATTTTCTTTTTGAAAACTCAGTATATATATTTAAGAGTTAATGAAATGTATATGTTACTGTGAAAGACCGAAATTGGAGAATATCAACTTTCTCCGGAGAATGTTAACATTCACCAAATAGGTTGGTGAAAGATCGAATATTGCACTACATTCTTGTATATTCGGACCCTCACCGGTGTATGTCGACAATCACAGATATGCTCTGGTGTAAGTCGAAAAGAGAGGTCATAAAGTGCCATAATAGTTTAAGTTGTTGCAATAAATAAGATTTGAATCACATAATTTAGTAAGTTTTTTTATCACTGTTATTTTATTTTCTCATTTAGAACGTACTGTATAATTAAGTAAGTTTTTAAACTTCTATTATTTTCCTTTCTCATTTTGAATGTATTGTGTGTTTTAGGTTCTCATGTTCTTATTTCAAGACTCAAGTGCGTTTATTCGTGACCGAATCACGGAGAAGAAAATATAATATTGTTATATGTTCAACATTCACCATTAGTACATGGTGAATGTCGACATTGACCGGTGTAAATCAGAAATAAGAGTATTTGAAAATATTTCGGACATACACCAAGAGACTATGTGAATGTTGACATTCTCCAGATTTCGGTGTTTCACCGTAACATATATACAATATTTAAGAGTAGATTTAGTGAAAAATAATAAATATGTGAGTTACATATATAAAAGGTGGATAAAAATTTGATATTGTTACCATTCTTTTTTATGTAGAAGTTCAATGGTAAGCAGAAATTACACACATAAATTATGATTATCGCTATATTAAAAAAATCAATAGTAATTTCAATAAAAATAAATATTTTTGATGAAAATTGAGCCCCCCCCCCAAGAATACACAAACACAGTTTACATATATAATACTGGATCAAAAATAGAGTGAAAAACACAGAATAGAAAGCATATTAAAAGTAATTTGTATTTGTATATCACATGATTAAAAAATACCATAAAGAATGGTAAAATTCCTAATTTTAAGCATTATATTTAATGACCATATCCAACAAAGGAAAACAGGCACCGTTGGTGTTATATTCCTAATCCTTCGTCAATTGTTATATTTCCAGCAGTCACATCTTATTTTTATCAATAAATTAAGCAAGGTAGCTAATAATACAATGAAATCACTATCCACTGCAACTTAAACAGGCTTCTTTATTCTGTAAAGAGCAAACCATATCAGCCATTTGTTTTTCTTTGATACCATTAATAGATGGTGAATTTCCTTCTCTTAATGCTTTTTTATCAACTGTAAATTGAATAGCATTAACAGCTGGTTTGGTCCGAAGATAATACATTCCAGTCTTCAAACCCTGCGAAAAATAGAGTAAATTAATTATTTTACATCAGACTGTTTTTAAATGAAATATAAACAAAGCTCATAAGAGTGAGCTGCGATACTTTTAAAAGTAAAAATATACTTAAAAGTAATCATTCTATTATAAAGAAAAGACTCCTTTTCTCGCATATCATTAAACAATGAATTTGATGCCAGTTTTCAATAATTCATTTATATAAATCTGAAGGTAAAGTAATGAGCAAAGAATGGAAGGGATCACTTTTTATTTACAGACGACTACTAATATTACAACTGTTAAATTAAGTTTTGAGGCCTTCCAGGTGGAAACATTTATTAATGCTGAACCATTTTAGGAAGGTTTTAATGTAGCATCATGCTTATAAATCAAGAATGAAGCATTTAATAATGTAGTAACTGCTACTGCATTCCAGAACTGATTTAGAAAGCTTCCAGAGATTTTGGAAAAATTTTGAACTGGCGCTATAGAAAATTTGATAATCCTTTGAAGCACGGTGATTATATATGTATATTAGATTCAGAAAACAGAAAAATAATTCCTACACAGCTGCAAGGAATTGATTTTTAAAGAAATTTTTTAAAAAAATCATTAAAAAGATTATTCCAGCCTAGGAAAAATTATTTAGGGTGTTAATATAGCCTCATGTTAATTGGTAGCGAAGTGTTATCATAATAAATCTGAAAAGACGCTTAAAATCATATTCTGCTTTCTGTAACCTTAACGTCTTTACTTAAAAAAAAAAAAAAAAAAAAAAAAAAAAAAAAAAAAAAAATCCAAAATGAACTTGTTAAAAGAAGAAAATTATGCTTACTTATGCTATTATTTTCAGATATGTTGATGAAATCTTAGCAATTCAAAACTTTACAAGATTAACCAACAAAAAAATATTAACTACGTTCTTGCTGTTGGTGACTGCAATAAAATCAAAATTCATACCACAGTTGGCCATGGTGGAAGAACCTGTATAATTAAGGAACTGAATATCAAGTACAAGAATGCAACAGTAGAATCTAACATGACGTATTTCAGACTATGTGAACTATGTCAGGAAGGGGGAAACTGTGGAAAAGGGGATTGTAATCAAACCAATTGTGCATAGTGAAATGAATTCTTGATAACAGGTCGACCTAATAGATATGCAGTTCAATCCTGATCATGATATGAAATTCATTTTAGCGTATCAAGATCATCTTACGAAATTCATCCTACTCCAAAGTTTACACAGTAAAAGAGCTGATGAAAGAGCATATTCTACATTTTGAAATGCTTTATTTTACTTTTTTTTTTTTCGCATGCAAACTGGCATAGGGAATGGTTTCATGCAACTGTTTATAACTTGCTCTCGTGGTTTAAAAATCACATAGTATCACATTGATCTGGCAATCATAATTAAAACGGGAAATTAAATTACTTTTGTCCATCCTCCTGATGACAGCAAAAATCATTAAACTTGGCTGTTCTAATGATGTGGCCATTTCATCTCGACTTCTTCATTTTTCCGTTAGTTCTAAAAATTGTTAACTTTTTCTATTATGTTTTTGTAATACATTGCAATTTTAGTATTTAATATAATTTAATCTCTCTCTCTCGCACACACGCATTACAGAAACTGGAAGAAGCTCATCCTAATAACTTGGCGTGGTAGATGAATGCAAAAACCAAGCATACATTTTTATTTAATATCAAATCAGCACTACAGTGCCTTACTCTTAAAGAATGCTTTACATAAGACTTTTTATACCAAAGCATGACTACATTATGAGAATGTTTAAGTGAATTAAATTTCAGATACATAACAGATTAATATTTGGATGCTGGGTTAAGATTTTATCGCATTCCAGGAATAATTGCACAATAGAGATAAAGAGACAGGTCACTATTCAGAATGAAGAAAGGAGTATGCTCAAATTTTGCTATTATTCCTTTATTATTAAAAAGGTACCTAGTTTATATTTCACACACATATATAGACTCTAAAGAATAATCATAATTGAAGTAGTAACAAAATACAAAAGAAGGAGACTAATCTACATTGTAGCTGCAAGATCATAATAAATTGATAATGAAGTTCAAGGATGGAATGTAAATTAAATATAAATTTAGTTCCAAAAAAAGTGGTTAAAAGTATCAAAACAGTTCAGAGGAATGAAACATATATTCGGAACTTGTTAATCTTCTTGGTTTTAAGGCTTCAAAACACTTTTCCCTTTACAAGTTCCAGGGTTCATAGCCACATTTTAGTTAAAAAAATAAGCACCTGTCTAATTACATATACACAACTGCATAACCTTACAAGAAAAATTAGACTTGTAATTTAAAATATGAGAAATTCAATATTTATTATGAGAGAATGAGAATTACTCAACCATGGAAAACAATTAATTATTTTTTTTTAATTTTAAATAACAGTTCAGTCTACAGAACTAGTTTACAATGAACTAGTTTATGCAGAACTAAATTATATTACAAGATTTAGTGATGGAATTTAAGTTCAAAATAGAGAAAATAAATAATAATAAGCCATATTTTTATATTAGCTTGGCACCTAAAAATAAATACAATTTATTTTTCCAATCCTATTAATATTTAAATAAAAATTCTGAACATTTTCTAAATTTTCATTGTATAACAGTTTTCCCTCAACAGATATTGCAAGCAAAGTAATTTAAGTAAAAATAAGTAAAAAAAGAAACTTTTCTGAAATTAGAAGGCGGGATATTGCTTCATGCAGTCATTCTTTAAAAGTAAAAGCTTAACTAACCGGCATACTCGGAAATTGCTGAATATCTGAAAATTCTGGATAGTCGAGCGTAACTGGTAAAAGAGGAAGGGAGGGTAGATTGTAGCAGTTTTTTTAGATTTTTCAGCTAAATAATGCTTTTGACATTTCGATATGTGAATTATATAAAAAATAGTCCAATGGAACTGAAAAATAACCCGCTTAGCAAGCACAGTAAAACTGCTTTATCTCTGCGAAATATGGCAAACATTATTGCTCAATATGTGAGCCTTAATTCTTCCGCACATGTTGTTACTCAATCAGAATCAACAGCTGCCAGTATTCGGACTGTCAGGCACCCATGTGGCATATTTATCATTGAGCAGGACACGTCGTTGCTCCGCGCAATATCCATACTACACTCATATTGATTAATAAAGAGATTTACCAATATGAGGTGTTTTCCATTCTAATTTTGAACAGGCTGCATTAAATTTTCGGAATAGAATCATTTTTTGCTTGGATTGGTGGACCACAGAACTTTTAGTCCTATTCAATCCAGGTTGGAAAGTGACCCCCCCCCAAAAGTCTGTTGCTTGCTTTGCTGCGAACTGTAACGTTTTCAATATTCGAGATTTTGTGGAGAAAGGGAAGAAACACCCAACTTGCGTACTGTTTGATGCATTGGGCAGGGGAAGGGGGGGGGAATTTTTTTTTGACTATTCGATTACTTTCACTTTACTTATGCCATTCTGAATATTATTCCTTAGAAAACTAATCTGTGTTGAAACACACTCATTTTTGAAGTTTATCTATACTTCAGCAGTTACTGTAAATATATTATAAATATTCATACATATGCTTATAATATAAGCATATCGATCATAATAAATGCGAATATGAACTGACCACGTGGAACGAGAATGTAAATTATTAAAATCTTGATAGAAATTCAAACGTGTGTAGTATTGGGTGGGAGCAAAAGAATACAGTATTTACCGGAATTTCTACTGCTTTCGCAATTCTTTGACCAATAGAAGGACGTGCACCTGTCTGTATTTGCGCACAAAGGTTATGTTATGCAAAGAAAGGGGCGAAAAGCGATTTCTGAGGTTATGATTCACCACCTAATGATCCATATAAGGAAGAAAAGTTGTTTATTTAGTTTCAGCTTTGGTACAGGAAAAAACTTATAAGCACTTGTAAGGACCGCTACGGATCCTCAGTTCTTTTTGAAACAGTAAGAGGAGATTAATTTTTAGGGCAATTTTATTGCAATTTTTAATTTTACAATCTCATGTTCTGTTGTTTAGATTATTTTAAACACTTCCATTTTTATTTTGTACATTTCATTCGGGTTTACTTGATTTTTGTAACCATTTCCTGGATATAGAAATAGGTAGACTTTTATAATTTTTGGAGCTAAATTTATATTTAATTTGCGTTTTGACCTTTAATTTCATTATTAATATATATATATATATATTGTGAGAATCAGAAGGCAAATTAAATTATGACCACAACAGTTCATATGCACTGATTAAATACGGTTTCAAAAATTTCACAGAAAAAAAACTTAATTGCATAAATTATTAGTTTTAGTGCCATGCTTAATTCCTATAAAGATGATGCTTTAAAAGTGGATTGAGAACTAAAAAATAAGTTATATGCTGTAATGTTGCGAGAAAAGACATTAGTCTACAAAACTAAAATCCTAAAACAGATTTGCATCAAAAGCTTTGTTGCTGATATAATTCCAAAGGAATAATTTATTATGAATATTTTCATACAAGCAAAACCTTATACACAATTTCTTATTATCACTTAATTATTAACTATTCTGACTGAAAGAAGCCCTACAAACAAAATGACGATCACCACTGAACTGAAATGTTCTAAGCCAATATAACTGCAATCCACTTGTGGCATTTTAAACAGTGGATGAATTGAATGAGCAAAGATGCAGAATTTTCTCAGCCTATATATTTTATGAATAGTGTTCTAGCAGATTACCATTTATTTAGATTCTTTTAAAATTATGTAAATAGAGGAAAATTACATAATTACCAGGAAGTGCAAATCTACTCATAAAATTCTTTGAAAGAGAAATACTGAATTTTCAGAAAAGGGGAATGAAAAAAGAAGATATAAATGGTAGAAATTACGTGAATCATCAAATCACAGCCTTCTTTTTAACGAAAGAAAACAATTTAGTAACAGAAAAAAATTTTAATGGCATAAACGTTCTTGTTTAATTTCAAACATTCTTTTTACCTCTCTAGTTTGACAGCACATATTACTTCAAGGTGTAATAGAATAAATCATACTTATATAAATGAACTTCACTTTAAGTAGTATGAGTGGCAGCAGTACATTAAGTCTAATATGTTTTACATACCTTAAACTTTTTGACGAAAATGTAATTAGGAGGCAGTCTAAAAAACGTGCTAAGCTCCTTTAAGCGCCATGAAGTTATATATTAAGATATATGATTTAAAATCATACTAGTTATACGATTCTTACATATCTTAGTCAATTTTAATTATCTACTGCCTTTTATATGGCATACAAGCATTTTGCCCTCTCCTTCCCCTAATCACACTCGTATTAATGCTCCGTATTGCTTGGATTAAATTCTGATGTGAAAATTAATGCATTAAATCTTGGACTCCTTTGACAGCAGAACTTGAATTGCTTGATAAAGTATTTAATTATTACAGTTTAAATCTACAAATTAAAAAGCCTTTACACTCAGCTAAGCGTTCAGAAAAACCAGCCAGTAAAATTACAGGCATCAATCAAGGGATAAAAGATTGTATAAATGAATACTTTTCTCCTCTTTACTATATGATTCATTAATTGAAGACATGGGATTAAAATTCATGAGTCTGATTCATTACTGACTTTTCAGCATTAAATTATTATCCAATTCCAGATGAGGCATTGAATTTAAAACTGAGATAATTCTCATTAAAGATGGTAATTATTTTTTAAGCAACAAATAAACATGTATCAGTTTACTTTAAAGTCTAATAAAAGAATGAAGAAAGAAAGAGGAATTCAGATTTTATTATCACATTCAATAGCACTGATATATTTAAAAGAAATAAAAGAAAGAAAGAAAGATTAGAATTTTAAAAATGAGAATGCTAAAAATATTAAAAACATATCTACTTTACTGAACTTAAAAATACTTGATTCCATACAGTAAATGAAAATAAATAATATAAGCTTCTTATTTTTTAATTGAAAAGTTTACAGAACAATTCATAAAAAGCACAGAAAAGATAAAGCTTTAGTATTAATACATATGGTCAAATAATAGCATAATTATAAGGTTTATATTGATATCTTTGCATATTAATTTTTCTTCCATAAAAATTATTTAAAATTCAAAATGAAGGTTCTTTTTAGAATTTATTATATAATTTATATTAAAAATTATATAATTACATTGGCTATTTTTTTTCTTGAAGTATTACAACAAATTTGAAAGTTACTGAAATCAGAAGCAGTTAATGTAAAAAGTAGAAATGCTTTTTTTGCGCATTTCAGCAATTTTTTCTGAACCAAAGAATTACAGCTATGATAGACAAGTTAATGTGTATTACAGTAGAGAAAAGCAAAAGTAACACAATTTTTCTAAAATAAAACAAAAATGTTTTTATACCTAAATGACAGCAAAGAGAATTTTTAAGAAACACACAATTAATTTACAACTTACTAAGTGCCATCCATAAAAGTGCATGCTTGTTAATTTTCCATAATTTGGTTCAGCAATGTGAACATTTAGAGATTGACTTTGATCTATATAGGCCCCTCTATCAGCAGCCATTTTTAATATATTTTTCTGCGGTATCTCCCAAACTGTACGATATAATTTTTTGAGACCATCAGGAATGGCATTAATATTCTAGAGGAGAAAAATCACATACAGTATGAATGCATATAAAAAACTTAAAAAGCAAAATATGTGGGATAACAGGATTTGTATTCATTTTTGCACACTAAAATTAAGTACTTTCAAAGGACCATTAACTTAATTAAAAAAAAAAAAAAAAAAAAAAAAAAAAAAAAAAAAAACTAAAGTAAATTATCTATACCAGGGGTTCTCTACCAGTGGCACGCAAAGAAGTAAAGTATTTTTAACTATTAAATTCAAAAATTAGAACCCCAACATCCTGATTGAATTTTTTCTCTAACATTTGTAAATTTTATGCGATTTGAGCTTTGTTCAAGGTCAATAGCTAAAGTCTATAAGTATAATGCTCTTGCTAAAGTCTATAATATACACTTATAGACTTTAGCAAGAGGCGAACAATCTGTCTGCATGGCAGTTTTCGTAGTTCTTCCATGTTGCATGTTTCACAAATATTCTTTTAGCCATACACATAGCCAAATTTGTCATAAATGATGTTTTTAAAAGGAGTGATAGAAATGGATGCTGTATATAATAGGAAATAAAAATAAGTTCCTATAAAAAGATTAGCATCTTCTTAATTCTCTTAAGAATTTATGAATTTATTAGCATGTCAGCACTTTATGCCACCATATGCGGGTTTCATATTGCTCCATTTTTAATGAGAATCACTTTTTACATCGGTTCTGTCTCTAACAGCAGGTATTTTGTCTTCTTGTTGCTTTGTATTCCTGACTTTTCTATGCGATTTGAGAGTATCGTTGTCTGTTATCCTGTTGTATATTGTGCATTTATATATTTGTGAAAAAATAATAAAAACCTAGATTTTCAAAATGGAAAGGATTGACTAAGCGGAAAAATGACGATTCACAGGTGATGGATCCAGGACAATCTACTAGCACTAACAATATTGAAAAGAAAAGAAAAATTGTTTATCGAAAATATAATGAAAGTTATTTAGCAATCAGGTTTACTTAAAATAGAGATGAAATGGACCCTCAGCCTCAATGTGTTATTTGCAGTGAACTATTATCCAATCAAATTATAAACCATCGTTATCTTGAATTTAAACACGCAAATTTAAAGGATAAATCTGAAGAATATTTTAAGAGGAAATTATCGGAGTTCAGAAACAGTAAACAAGTAAATGAAAGGTTTTTTTACTTCAATTGAAAAAGCTTTGGAAGCTAGTTACCTGCCAAGACTGGGAAGGCTCCCACTATTGGAGAAAACATTATATTACCAGCAACTAAGATATCATTTTAACATCATTCAACAAAAAAAGTGGCTAATGAACTTAATATCATTCTGCTATCAACTGATATAGTAAGTCGATGAAATCATGAAATGGCCAATTCCATAAAAGAGACACTTATTAAAAAATAAAACACAGTGAGTATTTTGTATTGCAATTGGATGAAAGTACTGATATAACAAACTTTGTTCGATTACTAATTTACATATATTTTGTAGAAGATAAACAAATTGCTGAAGAGTATTTATTTTGTGAATCTCTTTATTATAGAGCAACTGCAAGTGAAATTTCAAAGTAATCGACAATTTTACGAGATTCCTTGGAATAAGTACATTGTTGTATGCAATGATGGGACACGGGCATTAACAGGAAAATATTATAGTGATTTCTCAAAAAAAAAAAAAAAAAAAAAAAAAAAAAAAAAAAAAAAACTCACACCTGAAACTAAATTTACTCACTGCTCCATACAGCGTGAAGCTTTAGTAGCCAAAGCAATCCCTGAAAATCGTTTTACATGGATTTGTGAAAATTGTTAATTTTATTAAAAGCCGAGCTTTATTCAAGAATATTTAGGATGTTATGCCAAGAGATATACAGTGAATATGAAATGCTTTTGTTACATACCGAAGTAAGGTGGTTATCCAGAAGCAAAGTTTTAAATCGTCTTTCTGAACTTCGATCAAAAATTAAAATTTTTCTCTGTGATTCAAAATTTTAGTTGCAAAAAAGTTTCGGTAAATGATGGTTGGCCCGTTTAGCATATTTAGCTGATATTTTTGGAAAGTTAAATGAATTATATTTAGGAATACAAGGGCAAAATGTTAATTTTTTACCATTAGAGATAAAGTAAAGGTAATGATAAAAAAACTCGAGCTAATAATCAAAGAATTGGATAATAATATTCTAAGCTTTTTGCCACTTTCAGAAAGTTTTCTAACCGAAAATAATTTGAAAATAGCAGAATTAGCATTCGGCATTAAAAATCATTGTTTTTTATTGTTCAATAATTTCAACATGTATTTTCCCACGGATTATGAAAAAGAAAATTAGATTAGAAATCCACTTTGTTCAAATATACCTGAACTTTTATGTCTTGAAGAAAAAGAACAATTGATAGAACTCTAACTGAAGATTAACTGAAGCCACAAAATATTATCACCATGCATTATATTTAAAGAAACTAAATAATGAAGAATCTGCATGAATGTTTCTCGCATTGTTGAAAAATAGCCTAGAGCCATCAAATTTTGAATAACGTAGTCTTTCAACTGATAGGGTTGCCACTCAAACAAGAGAATGAAATTCCCTGACTTTTCCAGGCGTATTTTAAGAAAATTCCAGTCTATCTGCGTAATGTATGTTGGCTGTGCTAAGAGGTAAATTAATTACAGTATTACTTGAGAACCCAAAAATTTGCCAATTACATATGACTTATATATATATATAACCCCCAAAGCATTACTATTTTAACTATAATAGGAATTGTTTTCTCCACTGAAGATTGAGATTAGATTCTACCCAATCTGGATTAAAAAATGTCTTTTTTTGCAGACATTTTGAAGCTAAATGAAAGAAAGAAATATATTTAATAATATTTTTAAATAAATTGCTTATGTCATAAATTAAATGACATAAGCAAAAAATATGTGCATTAAATTTTTGATGGCATGTCATCATACTGCAAGAATTACTTTCAGGATTTTCCCAGAGAAAATTTCCTGAAACTTGAAACTGTTATTTACTAGTAATAAATAAATTTAGAGGGAAGAAGTAGCATTAAATGATACGAATAACATAAAAATAAAGATTATTACTTAAAAATTGAATTAGAATAATCAACGATATTTTAGCGAATATAGTTATATTTAATGGTAAGCCTACATGACTGATTACTATTTTTTTCATTTTACAGCAAAATGACAAATAAGGCATTTATTATTTTTTAAAAAAATAGTATAAAAGATTTTGTGGTAAAATCCCAGTATACGGTAAGGCCTTGGCACGATTTTGAAAACTGTTGCCAACACCAAAATGACCCGTTTACTACTCATCATAATGTTGCCATATCTCGTGTGTACTGTACATGGAGGTTATTCTAACCAAAGAATGCCTATGTAAAGAAGGAAAGGTTCCATAGACATAATGATGCTATTAAGCCACTAGAAAGTGGAGGGAAAATTTGCCAAGGGATTTGGCGACGGAACCTGGCGGCCAGAATTTCCCTCTCCGCGATATGTGCAGGAAATTGTGTTAAGAAGAAACATTCTTTGACAAAATTTTTCTTCTTTTATTTTTTGCAATAATTTAAACACGGATTTTCGTAGTTTTTTTCCTCAAAATATCTAATCCATTAATTAATTTACTTGCGCAAAAGAATATTTTCTTTTCCTTTAAGGTTTAAAGAAATTTTAAACGAAATTCATTTTATGAACTCTTGATAACGTGACTTTCGAACTTCGATACCGGCTTCGAGCTTTAGCGACAGATATTTCGTGCATGTGCAGCTGTTTTCCTCTACGTTGGAATGGAGTCACCCCTATTGCAGAGAAGTTTTCCTTCTTAACAATACGTATTCTTTGATTCTAACTTTCATAGTACCATATACTAGGATTAAACCGATTTTGTTTTATATGAGAATAAGTACAGTCAAAAGTCGTTAATCCGGCGATTCCAGATTATCGATTTTTCCGGATTATAGATCATCAGTTTAAATCTCGTAAGATGGCATGCAGAAATTCTAAAATTAAAAATATGAAACCGTAATTTATGAAAAAAAGAACAATTATGATCTAAAGGGTATCAAAAGTTACAAAAAAAAAAAAAAAAAAAAAAAAAAAGAGCTTAATATTTATTTATTTACTTTATTAAACATTTCTTTCAATGTAAGTTGTTTAAGTTGCTTCGTTTTATGTGATAATACTTTCTCTTTAATTCTATAAACAGACATAATTTCTTTTTCATTTACAAAGTTCCACTGTTCAAGTCCCGTAATTGCTGTGACGAGAATACCGACTAACTTGTCAATCGAAATTTTTTCGTTTTCACTAACCTCTCTGTCACCTTCTTCATGTCTTTATCCATTTTTTGCAGCAATTCCACTTTTTTGTTTGATGGACATCGAAACATACTTTCGTTTTGTAGATCCTTTGGGAGCTCCAGCATCGGAAATTCTATTTGACATAATCGAAAGTTCAAGTTTACTTTTATAAAAGTGCTCTTACAATCTACAAAAAATAATAAGCCTGATCCAATTCGAAGACTAAGGAACAACGCAATCATCAACATTAACTGAAATAGATAATTTTAGCTTATACCGTCTGTTATACATAAAAGGCGTACGCAAAAATGTATTCTGCGCTTGCGCACATGCGCAGTCATAAAGGTCTTACGAACAATGCGTAAACGCCTATGCGCATGTGTCAACGCGCCGCATGCGCAGAAAGTTTTTAGCTTTGAGGTCCGGATTATGGGTGTCCGAATTAACGACTTTTGACTGTATTTTGTTTAATTCAACATGCACTGCACATGCGATTCTCGAGTTGCTGGAAACTTGCTTTACTTTTCTAAAAGACAATCTAATTGGAGCTGCGAAATTGGCTCTATGCCAGCTGCCCGAATGATGCTCAGGCGATACACAATTCGCCAAGAAAGTGATCACTTCCAAACATCGGCGTAAAACTCGCTTTTTTTGGAAGGGGGGATCGATGTATGAAATTCCCTGAATTTTTTGGTCAATTTTCGAATTCCTCGACTTTTTCTGGTTTTCCAGGGAGCGTGGCAACCCTGAACTGAACATGGCCACTCGGAATACCGAATTTCGAATTTGTTTTATTATCTATTTCAAATTTTGCAAAACTTCAAACGAATTATTGATTACCAAACTCAATGATTTCAAAGTGAGCAATGGCAACACCATACTGGGAAGGGGGGACATCTCCAGCGCACGAGACTGTGTACTGGAAACTCTAAAGGTTATGCTATTTTAAAATATTTTGTGATATTGCTGCTGAACTGAATTTATGTGTTTTAAGTACAAAGAACATGGTATTTAATAAATGAAGATAACACACAATACGTTAAAAATGCTTCTTTGAACTTATGTGCTTCAAGTATGGATAACATGATATTTAATAAATAAAGATAACACACAACACGTTAAAAAATGCTCCTTTGGGCTTAATATAAAATCTAAAAGCTTTCAGACTTTTTTTTGTTTTTATAAATATTTCTATTCAGAAATTGAAAAATAATTACTATAAAATGTAGTGGTAGTACTAAAGGTTTTCAGTTTTTGTTTAGATGGTACTTGTTAGTCAGGTTGAGAACCGCTGATCTATACACAAACTTCACTTTTATAATACCATTCTAAGAATAAAATCTATAAGTAGGATATATTATTATTAAACATTATCTAACTGATTAACCAACAAAACTACTAATCTTTTTTTTTTTTTTTTTTAAATCTGTTATACATTTAAAATTGTTAAGCAATCATTTTAAATGTATAACTGAAAATTTAAACTGTTTCATTATTCACAAAACTCTTACCTGTATGGAGCCACTGTCTGCAATAAGTCTATTTTTCATGTTTTCATCCCACAGATTTAGATCAGTTAGGTCTTTTAATAAATGATGATTTACAACCTAAAGTATACAAGGCCAAACTTAAACTTCAGAAAAGAATTGAAATATAATTTACAATATATTCTTAAAATCCAGTTGATCTACACCAGGGTTTCTTAAACTTTTTTCAGTCGCAACCCCATTTCATCACTGAGATTTTTTCGTGACCCCAGAATATTTACAAAACTTTTGTGGAATCCTGTAAGTATTGCGCAAATCCAACACATGCATGTGTGAAACTGTCAAATTGTTCACTTGTACTGTAATATACTATTGCAGTTTTAGGTCATTAACTTTAATTTCTAATTTTAAGATACAGAACAATGTGAAAATTTTAAATAAGTAACAGACAAAATGATAGCGTCAAGTGCAAAGCAAGGAAAATGAACATTTATATTCTAAGAAGAATGAGTCAAAACGTTTTCTTTTCTTTTTTGTCTGCATTTTCTTATCTTTATCTATTTTCAGATACATTGTGTAAAAGTATTTGGTAATTGTAAAATTATTATAATAACTTAAAGAAATATCAAAACTGCTAAAATTTTTGGCGACCCCCTGCTGCAAGTCCCATTACCTACAGTTTAAGAAACCCTGCTCTACAGAATAAAGCATATTCATTATTGACATGAAGGCTCACCAGCGGCCGAGCGGCAAGGTCGCTGAACACTGCTAGTTCGGTCCGAGGCTCGAATCCCGCGAACGGGCTGGCTAGCCCTCGAGGCTTTGCCATAATCTCACTCACTCACTCGCACGCACGCTCGCTCACACACACACACACGCTCGCGCTCACACGCACGCACACACACACACAATTAACATTTACACACACATATGGAATGATGAGCTGAATGGGGCTTGTGCGAAACCTTTGTTAAATTTGTCTCTAATTCGTAATCCTCTTGATCTTTTTGCTTCCTTGTTCATTTATTCCTAGAAGAACACATCTTACATTCCAATTTTTTAACACACATATAGAGGAAAGAAGTTATTTCCATTAAACGTTGGAAGATATAAGATCTTCTATCACAGTACAATATATTTCAACTCTAATGCTATACAATATATTTCAACATATAGTACAATATATTTCAACTCTAATTTAAATGGGAAACTTTTAAGAGAACTTGATCATAAATAATAAAGGTGTGGGGCATCCATGATAAATTTATAAAGACCTATACTTTTAGCAATGCAATTTGATTATTAGATTCCATTATTTAGATGCTCATGCTTTTATTATTCAAGATATAAAACAGTAGATGAATTTTGTAGAGTTATTAAATAAATAATTCCCATTAAGCAAGATGATAAATTATTTTTTCCTTTTAGTTCATTAATAATTTTTTGAGTTTTAAAGCTTATTTTATGGAAGCTTTATTCATTTATTAGTATTTAATTATTAACTCAAGAGTAAACTTCCATTTAATCAAGTTATGGCTTAACTAAACCCTATCTAAAAAAGGTTTTTTTATTGCAGAACAATGAAAAAATTATTATCACAAACCATCAACACAAGAGAAAACTTAACTAAGAAAAATATGAAAAAGGGAGAAAAAAGCCTGGTATAACACTGATGCCATAATAATTGGGAATTGTTTTAATCAACAATGTACAGTCAAATTGTATAAAATATGGAATGCATAAACATCCCATAATAAAAAGTTTTAACCTTCTTTTTATGAGTTTGAATATTTATAAGATATTGTTCAAAATCTGTTATAAATATTGTTCTTTACTCATATTTATAATTCAGTTTTTTTCATTTGACAATCTTATCCTTCTGTTATTAAAGTAATTATTATTATTTTTTTTTGTTTGTTTTTAATACGGATTTAATTTACACAAACCAATGAATTTATTATCCAGATTAAACTGCCTGAATATAAATGTAAATTTTCAATAGCATTTTTGCATTAGTTGTAAGAATTTTTTTTTTTAATTTCCCACATTTTTTTAAACTAGCTTCAGATTAACTGTGGATATAATTTCCAGTATTATAGTGATTAATTAAGAGCTGAATGCACTTTCTTTATGAAAGAGAACAAGATAATTTTATTAGAAAATGAGAATTTATTTCAATCAATTTATAGATATTTGATTTTCTAAGTTATTATTTTGGAAAAATTTTAATTTTATCCGAATTTTTGCAGGTCAAGGAAAAAACCCCATCATTTCTTAAAATTACATTTGTTTTAATCTTTCTTAAATGAAAATAAATGTAATTAGAAGTTGCTAAAAACAGAACATTAGTCAAAAATAAATGAAACATATTAATAAAAATTTATTGAAGATCACAGATTAAATGAATATATGAAAAAAAAAAAAAAAAGTGGCAGGAAAAGAAATCGAACATCAAGAACACTAAAAAGAAATTCATAAAATAAGTGTTTACTGAATAAAAAGACAACTTCAGCAGATTTAATGAAAAGCAACTTCTGTGGGTTAGAAAATCAGCTACAAAAGTGAGAAAAGCCACAGAATGGATTACAGTAACTAAAACATTTATCCTTGAAATCCAAAAAATCAATAGGTTTTTCACACTGTGCATCAACAGAATGGAAAAAATATTTTAAATTTGCTCCATAATGCGTATCTGATGCAAAATATATTACCACTTTATTGGTATTTCTTTTTGGACATTCTTCACTTTTTACTTTTGGTTTTGACTTTTACCCTTGCCTGCATGAATGACGAAACACAAATTGAATGACTGGAGAGTTAGGTTTGGAGGCAACTTCCCCTTGATAAGTCTGTCTCCTGCCTACTCAACAGTCATTCACTTATGCATTTTTTAAAAAATTGTTTGGATTAATTTTAATTTGCTAAATTAGTGAATTTATTTTCATGGATTGGTTTTGCACTTGATTTGCTTATGCTTCTGAATTCAAACGATATTGTAGATTAGTTCGAGAATTTAATCTTTTTTATATGTTTGCACATTTTAAAAAATTTTTTTGGCTTTCCTTTTTTTTTCATTTTGGCTTTAAATTTTTTTTTTTTTTTTTAACTTTTATACCTGTTTGTGAAAATTTGAATTTAAATTTCTTTAAATTTAATATTTAATTAGATATTCTAAATTTTATGTCTTTTGAGAAGTTTTATATCATTTTGTAATTTTTTTAAAAGTTTATACTAAAAAATCTTGAAGAGGAAGAAAGCATTTATTAATCAATGCACTTAATGAAAACAAAACTAAGGTACTTTCTAATTAACCGTATCCCTGGTTTATACCTTTGGTAGAACTTTCCATTTTTCTGCACTTTGGAGTATATATGCAACAATAAATAACCCATGCATGCACATATCACATATATGTTTCAGGACACGTAAATTAAATGTTATTTCGCTACACAGTATCCATTAGCTGTAAAAATTTTAATATTGACTAGATACTTGTTTTTCTTCTTATAAAATTTTTCTGGGGGGGGGGACTTTTCACTTCATATCAGTTATGTTCCCTCATTTCACTCTGACTTGAGCATGTATACACATCTAAAAGCTGTTTTTGCACTCTTCATCTCCTAATGCTTGCCATGTTCACATCAGCCATTTTGGTTTATTCTGTAATTTAACTGATATACAGCTAAAGCTGCTAATGGTGAAAACAAAGGATAAAAATTATAAACCCGGAGATTTGGTTATCTACTGCAAGACCTGGAAAGTTGACAATTATGAATTGGAATAATTATTGTTTTGTTGCCTTTATTTATAATTTTAATTTAAATCTATTTTTCAATACGACTGCATATTTTCTTGGTAAGAAATACAATTGTTTTATCTTTTTGTACGTTACCATTTAATTATTAATCTATATCTTGAAAATAAAATGATCTTTTCTGTTACTTAAGAAACACTAATATATTTGCAAATGACTAAAAAATAACGTACAATGAAAGAAATAAAAACAGACTATATTCAAGAAAAGGAACAATGTTAACATATTTAAATACTTCCACTTCAAATAAGAGACTGGTATCCTGAAAATATTTCTTTCTGTGCATAATAGTGCATCTTGGGGAAAAGGGGGATTACATTTTAGCCAAAAATATTACATCCAGATAAGAAATAAAATCAAAACCAACTAAATGAAACTTGTCAAAAGCCCTACACAAATCTAACACAATATAGATATTACAATAAAATGCAGTAATGACAGCGATTTCATATTATGCATTAAATTACTTTCAGCATAGCAACATACTTAAATTTTTGCATTTAAGAAGCTGAATATTATAACTTAGAAATATTCTGCTTCAGTCTAGTAAATTTGCCCAAATCTGTAAATTAGTTTTCATATAATACATGATGTGAACAAATTTATTATGATTTATTTTACAACTTCTAGAGATATTTATTTTAATCTGCCACTTTTTAAATAATAATGCAGTACAGATTAAGTTTTTCTAAATTCAGAACTTAATTATTTATCACCTTTATTTACACATCATACCTTAGGAAAAAGTGCAAACTTAGTCAGTTTTTTCTCAGGTAACGAGCTACCGACCTATCCACGATTTTAAGTCTTCTGTAAAAAGAAAGGTAATGTTCAGCAACAATGTTTGTTCAGATTCTCAGACATACTGGTCACTTTCAGGGATGGCAGACAACAAGTTTCAATGGGTTTAATATTTCAATCTAAAATTTTGTTTAAAAACACTTCAATTTTAAATCCAGAAACAAGCCCAAGAGCTTTGTCATAATGCTTAGTCCAAGACTACTTAATCTGTTCAAAATAATACTTTGATACTGGTGACACAAAATAAGAAAAAAATTAATTCTAAAATTTTCAATCTTTTTAATCTTATTACAGTTTTTATTTTTGAGATTCTGATGGAAATAAAAATGAAATAAAAAAAATGTAGAACAATTATCAGAAATTTAGTGTGACTTACTGTCTGATATGAACAATTACAATCATTAAAATATTATTCAATAAATACAGCTATTTTACCTGAAATTCTCCAGATAAAACCCTCCTAGTATAGAAATTACTAGTATATGGTTCAATAGATTCATTATTTCCAAGAATTTGTGCAGTTGAAGCTGTTGGCATAGGAGCTACAAGCAAACTGTTCCTTACTCCATACCTATTAAGTCATAAAATTTTGTCATTATAGACACAAATTACAAAACATACAGATTTATTTTATATAAATAAGAAAAGCAATATTTTAATTTTAAAGTGGGAAAAAAAAGAATAACAACTTGTAATATATCTAGAAATATATAGACAGCTCATATACACAATTATTATAATATTAATAGCAGTTCAGCCTTCTAGCCAGAGTAAGTAACAAAGCTGAAGAATCCCACAGAAAAACAAAATCAAGATTAAAATAACAACATTTCGTGCAAGCAAATTTTTGCTCTTCATATTTCAGAATTTCTATTTTTCGAAAAAAATTTCAGAAAATGTCAATAACCCTGTTTATTATACAAATTATGATTTTCCAAATCTATAAGTGAATGGCAGCAATTCATAGAAGAATAACTTGGACATTTAAAATTCAATATCCAAAGAATACTATACAATTAGGAAATAATATCTCAAATCATAAAATTTAAGTATCATGCTTTTATAAAGATGAATTTTCTCTAAGATTCATGGAATAAAGTGACGTCGAAGCGTAATGTTTTAGAAAACCACAAAATATATTATAAGGTATAACTGAATGCAATTAATGACACAGAATTATAAAAACTTCATTCAATAAAACAGATGAAGAAACACTGAGCTGTTTTCTAACACTTGTAACCCTGATTATGAATTAAGATTATCTTAGCTATAATTAGAAGAATAAATTCAACAAAGCTTGACAAATATATTTAACAACAGCAACAATAATAATAATGATGATTTCAGTTTATTATCTATGAATATATACATTTATTAAGCATTGAGGGATTTTGCTTAAAAGCCACATTAAAAAAACAAGAAACACTCTATTTCTGAAATTTTAGGCCCTTTAAGAATTAATTATCAAAATACTATTTATATAAATTGCAAAGTATATTAATATAAACTATAAGTAATGATTAAAAAAATAAAAACACAACCATAAAATAACCTAGCATTTTTTTTTATTTTAGTTTTGCATGATACTTTCTACTTTTTTATTATTATAATCTTTTTTTTAAATTAATACTAAGCAATCTACCAAAATCTTAGAAATTAAATTAACAATGCTAGCCATCCAATATACACCACAGTGAAAGAAGCATCCAATTTGTGTCATGCATATATTTTAGCAGGACATGCAAGTGACTAACACTGCATTGAATATGCAAATCATGTACAACAATGCTACCCAAAAGCACTTTAAAAAGGAAGCATAATAAGCTATTTTGAGTCCTGGAATTGTGTTTTAAAACTTTTATTTTGAGTTGGTAGACACAGTTAACCCCCCCCCCCAAAAAAAAAAGTGAGAGGAGGGACAGCTATTTGAGCAAATTTCTGAGTTTGACAGAGGAAAATCTGTTACTTATAAAAACTATGAATTATCCCTATGAGAAAACAGTATCTTATTAGATGAAATAAAGCCACAGTGATGAGAATATGGAATCAGTGGGTATATAAAGGCCAGCAATTGGGAATGCTTGCACTAGCCTCATCGAACAAATGACAGGACAGGCACACTGCACATGGCAGAGGTGGATAGCACAGAAACACCAAGAATTAGAATCTGCTGCGAACCCATACAATACTATTTGACATTGCCTGCAGAAGGGAATCTTTAAGACGTGTTCATTCCTGTGATTGCCATTGTCATTACACCATCATGGAATCTTGTGTTACAGATTGCCATACCAGTCCATACTTAGTTATGGTTTGGAGCATCACTCTATTTTATTCTTGCAAATGGCTTATACACTCAACAGCTACCACCGTGTTGCTGAAGTTTGGGAGCATGCTGCATTCCCTTACCTTTAACCCATTCTTAACCAATGTCCTGTAAGTGCAACAACTGTAGTGTCTCCATTCTCACCAACTCAGGTTCAGTCAGTCTCTTCAGCCCAATGTCACATGTGTAATTTGAAATTGGAATGATTTATTTGAATTTTTAAATGCCAGTAGGTGGTGCTAAATGATATTGGTTTTCACATCAGTTGAGTCATATTGCTTTTGGTATTCATGTGTGACTATCAGTTTCTGTTCTGTGCTTCTGGTTTAGATAGATCTATTGGTGAAAACAAATTGGGAATCACACAAGTTAAATGGACACAGACGTTTTTATTTATTTCATTAAGAATTTCATTTTTGTTCTTTGCTTTCTTTGTTAACCCCTTCGCGCCGGGTAGCACAAACGCGCGCTTATCGCGGAGGCCAGCAGTGTCTTACGCGAGCGTCTGTCCAGGGCCGGGGGCTTTTTTGCTATTAAGCCTAAATCCATGAAATTTTCGAAGTATCAACGCATTGTTTAATAATGCTCTACAGAGTATTTATTTTATAGATATTTTTATATATACTTTAATTACCTTATTTCTTGTTTAAATGCATATTTTACACATTTTATTTTCATTACTCACCATTTTATGACTTTTAACATTATACATCTGAAAACTAAATATATTACTTAAAATTCTATTTTCATATGAAAAATTTGAAAACAGGGATCTACACACAGTCCTACATTACATTCCTTGCACTCGTAATAACTCATTTGCCGTTTTGGAGGATTTTTCCGGGAATGTGAACAAACGAAGCATCGTCGTCTCATTTTCTTATCAGTCTCTTCTGAACAAAGTTTTGGAAAAAAATGTCTTTCAGTTAATCTTTCAGAAATCAATATCTGAAATATTTTGCATCATTTTCTGCTATTTCATGCTCTGTTAAACATTTTCGACGCTTCAACATTGCAACGGTAAAAAAACAGAAAGAATTCACGTCTAACAAAATCTAATTATTTTCTAAAAACTGAACTGCAAACCGAAATACCCAACGCTTTAGCGAAAATAAAACTTCTTCTGCTTACAATAAACAACTACACGTGCGAATAAAAGAGCGATTTAAAGAGACGTCATAAATCACGCCATTCGGAAACATTTATTTCCCCTTTTGTTTATATAATCAAAAACATGTGTATGTGAGTCATGCTTCTCTTATTTCAAGTAGAAGGTCTAATGTACATGTATCTGAAACCATATGGTCATACAGTGCCATCTTGTGGCAGAAATTACAGTTTTTAAAACGTTCCAGGACACTGCACAAATACGTGACAGTCGGGGCTGAACGGGAAAATGCTCTGGCATGCCTGCGTGTTGGCCGGGAAGTGAGTGTGTTCGTTGCTGACACGTAGGGGTTAATAGAATGTGGGGACATGCATCCACTTCAACATTTGCATTTATGTTATTTGCTTTTTTTGTTAGAAAATATGGGAAACGCATCTAGCTGGCTATATAGCAAGTGCAACGCCATCGAACTTCCGTGATGGGAAAACTTGAATCAGTTGTCACTTTTTATATTTATTTTAAAACTTAACATAGGTTACCTTGGTTAATTAAGTAACATTATAGCATTATTACAAATGGGCTATTGAAAGACATCAGCTTTCTAGATGCGTGATGCATCTTACTCATTCGGTATTTTTCAAAACTACGCATTTGTAATTTTGCTATGTGTATAATTATAATTTTAGTATTTTGCATGTTTCATTTATTTCTATTAATGTTACATTCTTTATAGTAATACATATTAAGAATTAGTATATTAAATACGAAAATTAAAAAATTATATTAAAACGCTGATTTTACATCAATTTTTGTAAAATTAGGCTTAACTGCTGAAAATGCATGAGCAGGGTTCGTACACATTTCTGCACACGGAAATTAAGTACTTTTAAGGACCATTAATGAAAAAAATTAAGGACCTATGAGCAAACAGAAACTGAATAAATTCAAATGAAGATATTATCTATGCCTGAATTTCACTTTTGTAATACCATCCTAAAAATAAAATAGATCCCTAAGTAGTACGCATTATTACTAAACATGAATTAATTAACAAATTGTTTTAATAATGTTTAGAATAAAAAAAACTATGCAATTTATCAAATAGCATTAAACATTTTACACTTATGATAGTTGGTCATATTTGAATGTTTATAATCGATTTCTTTCTCTTTAAGCATCTTTTCTAAGCAATTAGAGATTTGTCGCAATGTGCAAACCAATGCTCTTCACTAGTCTTCTGCATGCTTTATCTCCTAACTTGTCAACCTCTCCACAAAGTACCAATGAGGGTTTACTTGATCCGGTAAAAGTTAAATAGTCCCTTTCACCAACCCCTGCAGCCGTGAAGCAATATTATCACTGTGTCTGAAAGTAACTCCAATATCAGACAAAGGTTTAAATAAGCCTCTTATTTAAAAAGAACTTAGAACATAAAGACATGCTCTGATGCTAACAAAATGAATTACAGCTCACGGTGACGTAATTAAACAAGAACAGTCAAATTCAAACTAATAATGTGGACTAGTGGTCAAAGATTATACAATATAAGCGACATTTACATTTTACTAACAATTAGCTTTATGTTGATTTTTGAAATGGCAAAACTTTTAGAATTTAGAGCAAGAATTGGAAACAGAATTTAGGATCCGCACAGATTGCATCAGGTGGGAAAATGCCTAGTGCCAGCTATGTGTATGATGCATTAAGAAATATTAGATGAATCTTTTAAATTGTAAGTTTTCAATTTCTTTATTAATAAAAAAAAATCCCTTTCTATAATGCCTGCCCATGTGATAAGATCAGAAGCATTTTTGATATTTTACACGCTTCTGTCTAGTGAAAAGTAGAGAAAATAAAGAGAAGATAAACATGTTAAGATTCTAGTATCAGAAGTAATACATTCAAATATTATGTTTTCATTGTTCTTCCGGATGTTCTCCCAAAATTAAGAAATTCATTACAAACTTACTTTCCAACCTGCAATGTCTAAACTCCTAAAGAAAATTATCCCTACCGTTTCTGTAACAGAAAAAAGCCAAAAATATTTTGGAAAAAAGTAGGAGGGAAAAAGCATAAAATTAATTTTATAGAGAAAACTGATGCATATTCTGAGAATTTGAATATTCTGAGACAATTACACGGAGAAAAACTCTTAAATTGTGCTTTATAGCATTATACCTTGTTTATTTTTCAGATTTAACATATTGTATAAGTTGCCAAAATGAAACTTTATAATATGACAGCAAAAAATAATAATGTTTTATTTTAATGTTATTCTTTAAATATAATTTCAATATATTACCATTATTTTAATAAAATTTACCAATGTTACGATGTTTTAAAAAAAAAATCGAAAAATTCTCAGATTTTGGAATTAAAAAGTTTCTATAGAAACTATTCTTAAAATCGCCAAATTTAGAACCGTTTAATAAAAGAATACACATCCCCAAAAGCAAAACATTGTTTAAGAGCTCTTTACTAGAAAAAATGAATTTTGAAATGCTTATGTTTCACTTCTTGCTTAGAAACTCAAGTACCCATCATTTATATTAGAAATAGAAACAAATTATAACTCATGAACCCATTCAAAAGATTACCATATACACGGCAGTGAATCACCAAAAATATTCCTCAGAATGCTAATTCACACTCAAAATGACAGTCGTAAAAACAGACAGAAATTTCAGATGATTAAAATTAAGGACCTTCTGTCGATTTTGGCCCAAATTAAGGACTTTTAAGGACCAAACATCAATTCCAAAAAATCTAAGGACTCTTAAGGACCGTACGAAACCTGATGAGCCAGTGGCAACGCTCCATTTTGGAGGGTTCGGTTCCACGACTGTGCTTGGTTCTAAAGGGGTTAAAGACCAAATTCAGCAGGACAAAGCATGGCCACATGTAGGCACAAAATGTTCAACCATTTTTTATTGCTCACCAGGTCATACTGCTGCCTTGGCGAATTGGTTTTCAGAAAATGTTACCCATTGAAAATGTCTAGTCAATGTTTAGCAAACAAGTGGCCAGCATACATCACCTGCACCTATGCTAGATGAACTCTGGCAATGTGAAAACAATGTAGACTGAAGGTGCATTCAGACGTGGGCGTAAAGCGCATAGAGGCATAGTCATAAGGGCATAAAATACGGGAGACCCGTTCACACCTACGACAACGAGGTGTAAGCCGTGGCCAATGAGAGAAGCTAAATTTGCGCATGCGTGGAATGTCTACAACTTTCCCGCGCTGTTCTCCCGCTCGATTGATTTCCCACGTTTGCTCTGCTTGTTTTTTTCGTTGTGTCATCGCTTTTTCAGCTCGCTACAAAATTTTACTGGCTCAACAGAATGATCTTTTATCTGCCCTTCTCATTAGCCAAGAGGCAACGGAAGAAGGTAAATGAAAAAGAACGAAATGGTCGAGAGATATTTTTTTGAAAGACCAATACTTGGTTGGCACATATATTTCTGTGCAAAGCAGTATGGAATATTTCTGCATTGTACTGTAGTACTCTCTATACTATAAACATGCACATGCATATTTATATATAAAAAAACCTTCTTCAGCCTTTATATATAATTTCTTTTAGGAGAAACACGATATTCTAAATATGCCTAATTAAAAAAAAATCTTGGGGATAACTAACAGATAGCCTGTATATAATATTTTTCCATTTTGCAGGTGTGAAAGCAGTTAAGCTAAAAACAGTACTTACCATACATTATTATTATTATTTTTTTTAATTTTCAATCAAAAGGAACATGTTTCTGTGACAGTGAAACATGTGTGCTTAGCACTCCTTATTCACTGTCCCTGTCGATCACTATAGTAGTTTGCTGCACTACCAGTATCAATTATCACTAGTACTAGTATCCCACAACTGGTCACAATGACCAGCAACCACAACTACTAGGAAACGTTCACCCAACAATGTATTTTATGCTCAATCATTAAATACATTTTGCTGTGTTGCCAGCTGTTTGTATACACCTATTTCTAATAATTTGCATGTATAAGCCGCACCCCTGAATTTAATTTCAACATATGCTGTCATTTCTATTTACGACCAAATCTCAAAAGTAATTTCACATTGACAAATTTTAGGTACCCAAGTCTTCAAATACATCAAAATTATAAACATTCATACCTTATCCAGGAATTTCTACCAGAGAAATAGCATGAATTTAATGATCAAAATTCCATTCAAATGCTAGTAATAAAGAGTGGATAATAATAATAAATACTAATCATTAAATTATAGTCCATGTTACGAATTATGTGCGGTATTCAGTTTCATTAAAAGTAAATTTCCTTTCATGGAGAACATAATTAAAAAACTGAACAGAACTTCAACAGGAGACAAAACTGTCTAGACTCTTGACTGTTTTAAGGATATTTCACTACATTTTTTCCTTCTTGGAATTCATAAGAGCATTTTCTCAAAAGATTAATCTTTTATTACTTATACAAAGCTTACACCATTGAATTGACTATTGTGACTATTCTTAAATAAGTGAAAATAATTTTTTTCTTTTTTTTTTAAAGTAATATTTTTACTGTTAAAAAAACAGCAGATTCTTGATATTGATTTGATGTTTTAGTAAAATTAATTCATGAAGTTTGTTTGGAAAGAAAATCAGCATTTGAAGCAAATAGCAATACAATATTTTCAGCTTTATCAAAAAATTTATTCTTAAAAAGAAAAATAATTAAACAGGAAAAAAAAATTATTGTAATAATTTTTTTTTAAATTATAGACAGAAAGTAATAATAATAATTTACACAGAAAAAATAAAATTTTTGCAATCATGCATTTTTTAAAGAATTTTCACAGTAAAATGAAAAATATTGGATGGGATTAATCATCTACAGGATCATACGCAGCGTGCACAATCCTGGGCTTAACTTTCGCTTTACGAGTTTCATCCATATTTTTCAATATAAATTGAAAAACTCATTAAAAAATGCATGTCATCATAATAGATTTCTTGCGAGATCAACTCTTTATTTCGTTCGGATAGGATTACAACTCATTCAGATACGATGTGTTCTATAATAAAAAAAAAACGTCGTCTTTGATGTGACAGCGAAATCGTCTAAAGAAAGCCACTTCGTTTTAGCTTCGCTCTGATTGGTCGACCCTTATCCCAAACCCGGCGTAAAGTTAAAAACTTTGAACCCTATGCCACGAGCCCTAAACCAAATTCTGTGACGTAGCACAGACTGCCTTGGCAACGGAGCTCGGCTTTAACCACTTATGCTCCTTATGTCCTCGTCTGAACGGGGCCTGATATACCAAATGCACACATCTAAAGCCTTTTTCTTTAAATGCTCAGGCATTTTGGTGGCAGCTACACATACTAGTTTTTTCCATATGTTGTTGTTGTCTTGTCCATGTATTTCTTAGAAGAATGGTTGCCAGAGCCTCAAGGAGATTGTTCCTTCATATTCTGCAAGTAAAACTGGGCGGTCATTTTACTTGAGTCACCTCTGTACCTTACATTGTTGGTGCAATAATGATATTTGGATGGCAGGCTGTGTACTCATTAATTCAGAAATTCAATAAAGCAAAAATTCAGAAATTTACTTCATCAATCTAATTAAAATTAGATGTTACTACAAAGTTTATGTAATAACATTTAATATATTGAACAAATTTTATTTTACATAATTCTATCTTTAATAAAACATCAAAGAGTTTATGAAAATGAAAATCACGAATACTGATGATATTAAACAAATTTAAAATTACTTAGCAATTTTTTCTTTTAACTCAGCCCAGTTCCATCGAGGTGTAGGAGTTACATTCCACATATCATACTGAAGAATCTAAAAGAATTTGCAATCATTTTAACATATATAAAATAAATTAATCATGATTTTATAATTCTGAATATTAAAATTTAAAACTATTACAGTATTTTTAAATACCCCTTTTGAAACTGGAGAACCTTCATATGTTTCATATGTTCCATATTTTTCAGCCAACTCACAGCTAGCTTCCAGAGCTGCAAAATAAATAGTTTCAAATATTTCAATATTTAATTTTTGAGCTTCTTCGCTGTCAAATGGAAACCTCATCAAAATGAAAGTGTCAGCCAAGCCTTGAACTCCTATTCCAATTGGTCTATGTCTTTTATTAGACTTTTTAGCCTAAAATAAAAAGAAAAGAGAGAAGTTGAATAATAATAAATCAATTGTAAGAATTACTTCAATATGATTTTCAGCATACAAGATTATTAGGAAACTGCTGCACAGTTAAATGAGAAAATGCTTAAGAAATTAACAAAATTTTAAATGTTTGAACTTTTTCTTTGTTAAATGCTTTTTCTTAAAATAAATAAATAACATAAAAGACTAACTGTAAAGTTCAAACGCTAATACTATCAATATTCAGAAAATAACAAAGTTAGACATTGCTCATCAGAAAGATTTCTTTTGTTTTAAATCCCCAGATAACACATCATAGTTACCAACCTTGCAACATTAAATACTGCGGCCGGGGGGGGGGAAGGTTTGCATTTGAAAGCAACACCATTTCAAACACTCCAAACTAACCTAAATTTATTTTATAATGCATGATTCAGGTATAAAACTACCGATAATGTGATTTTGATGTAAAGTATATTAATGTTTAATCACATATTTTCTTAATTTTATGTTTACCTCTGACAATTACGATAGCTTAGATTGTTATTTTTCAAGACACTATTAAAACACTGTTTAAATTAAAGCTATGGCACAGATAGCAAGCAATATGAGTCAGAGGTTACAAAACGGAATATTAACTGGATTGGTGTATATAATATATATTTCTTTAAAATGCAAATTATCCTTCAAAAATAAAAATTGCAGTTACATTCCTTCTACGTGTTCATAAACAAAGTACAGTCAAAAGTCGTTAATCCGGACCCGTCGGGACTTCGGTGATTCCGGATTATAGATCATCAGTTTAATTCTGGTAAGATGGCATGCAGAAATTATAAAATTAAAAATATGAAACCATAATTTACGAAATAAAGAACAATTATGACATAAAGGGTATCAAAATTTACAAAAAAGAAAAAGCTTAATATTTGTTTACTTTATTAAACATTTCTTTCTATGTAAGTTGTTTAATTTGCTTCATTTCATGTGATAATACTTTCTCTTTAATTCTATTAAACAGACATAATTTCTTGTTTAGCTACAAAGTTCCGCTGTTCAAGTCCTATAAGTGCTGAGTCGAGAATACCGACTAATTTGTCAATCAAAATTTTTTCGTTTTCAATAACCTCTGCGTCACTTTCTTCACTATCCGAAGCGAATTATAATGACGAGGAACTTGATTTAAATCATATCAAAGACGGAGTACATCGAGATGAAATACTACATTTAGTAAGGAATTATAAGCCAAATAAAATAAAAACATCTGCCCTGAAGATAAGGATAGTGCTGACAGATCAACTTCCAATTCATTGCGCTCCGCGTCGTTTACCCCCCCCCCCGCAGAGCAGCGTGAAATTGATAAACATATTTTGGAATGATTAGATAATCAATGGATATGCCTTTATCCATTTTTTGCAGCAATTCCACTTTCTGTTTAATGGACTTCGAAACATACTTTCGCTTTGTAGATCCTTTACATATTAGTAAATATATATCGAAAATTCTATTTGACATAATCGAAAGTTCAAGCTTACTTTTATAACAGACAGTATAAGCTAGGCTAAAATTATCTATTTCAATTAATATTGCAGATTGCATTGTTCCTTAATCTTCTAATTGGATCCGACTCATTATTTTCTGCAGACAGAGCAATTTTATAAAAAGTAAGCTTGAACTTTCGATTATGTTAAAAAGAGTTTCCGATTCTGGAGCTTCCAAAGGATCTACAAAGCGAAAGCATGTTTCGACGCACCGCTTCCGATAGTGAAGAAAGAGACAGATAGGTTATTGAAAACGAAAAAATTTCGATTGATAAGCTAGTTGGTATTTTCAACACAGCAATTACAGGAACTGAACAAGAAATTATGTCTGTTTATAGAATTAAAGAGAAAGTATTAGGAAAAAAAAAAAAGCAACTTAAACAATTTACATTGAAAGAAATGTTTAATAAACAAATAAATATTAAGCTTTTTTTTTTTTTTTTTTTTTTTTTTTTTGTAAATTTTGATACCCTTTAGATCTGTTGTTTATTTCATAAATTAAGGTTTCATATTTTTAATTGTATAATTTCTGCATGCCATCTTACCAGATTTAAAATGATGATCTATAATTTGGAATCGCTGAAGTCCCGACGAGTCCAGATTAAAGACTTTTGACTGTACCAGCTTACTGATGGTATATGGACTGGATATAAATTCGATAGGTAAGTGATGCCGATATATCCTATGATATATAATCGTGTCTAAGCGGCTGAGCTGATCACTCCCCAGTTGTATTTACAGTGGTAATCGCAAAAAGAATGCAGATAGCATTTTAATAAACCTTTATCTCTGGAATTATTTGGCATAGCCACATGATTTAAATTGTTGATCTATAAAACGGAAAAAACCCTGATCCAAATCGCCGAAGTCCCGACGAGTCTGGATTAAAGACTTTGTACAGTATTACATTTTGATCTCCACTACAAGCTTCTTTTCACAATACAATAGACTCCAAAGGAATTTTTAAGGGGGGGGGGTCTCACTTAAAAATGTTTATAAATGCAAATACCATTAAAAAATTCATAGGCATTTTTGTTTCGAACTTGTTATTTATATGTTTGTAAAAGCATAAGTCAACTGCATGGTCATATTTTAATTATGATATTTTAAAATCATCATATTTTAAAATCTACAAACAATTGATGAAAAACTTAAGCTATTTCTAAACAGTTGTGTTACATTTTATGTAGTATAAATAAAAAATTAATCCACATATTTAAATTTTTATCTACAATCGATTAAAGTACTGAAATACAAAACACAAAAAAGTACCTCAGGGATAGGATAATAATTGATATCTATTATTTTATTTAAATTTTTTGTTATAACTTTTGTGACTTGCTTCAGTTTTTTAAAATCAAACTCTTGATCCTTGACATATCTGTTGAGAGCAATAGATGCCAGATTGCACACAGCAACCTAAAGCAAATAAAACATAAAATATGATATGTTATTGCCACAATAATATATACATATAATAATATATAAATCTTATATATAAGCAGCTTAAGTGTTTGTCGTCGACAGTATATTGTTGCCACTCAAGAAAAAAAGTGTGCGGAAATTATTGTTTTTACAGTTTTTAATTAATATCTAGGCCGATTAAACTCGTACAAAGCTGAGAACGGTATCGATGGATTCGGAGAATTTTTTGGAATCCGAGGATACGCGTCTCGAATTTAAACTTGGCGCCATTCCGTAGATATTCAAGAAAAAAGGATTTAGCACGTAGCCAAATCCCTCTAATAGGGAAAACTCAAGAAAGAAAGTGGAAAAAGTAGGTGAAAATTAGTTTTTGATTAATATCTTAACTAATTAAAGTCCCACGAAGACGCAAATGGTCAAAATGGCGTGCGACCGACCTGCAGATCCCAACGGTGTGCTTCGCTAAGCCTGGGAGCCAGCCGTTTTGGAGGAGATGATGTTACTTCACACCATATATATATATATGCGGCTTTAAGTGTTTGTTTGTCACCGATAGTTTATTGGTTGCTTGCGTAACTGTACTAACCAATGGGAATGTAACTGTACTAACATGTGAATTAACATTTTATTATTTAAATCACCTTTATTTATTGAGCTAGTGGTGGCTCTTAAGAAATGGTGGCGTGGTTTCCTTCATTGCACTTTACTTTAAGCAATTAAGTAAGTAGTTGGGGAAACCCTGTGGGGTAGTAAGCAAAGGGGCGTCCTCGCCGCCCGCCCTGGGTAATTCAGTTTGAATTAGCAGAAACTTTTACACAAATCATTTTTATTATAATTTATAATATCTAGAACAGTGGTCATTTCTTATGACCGCCGGGCTCTGCTCTCTGGTATATATATATATATACAGTGGATGGACAAAAATATGGAAACACCTTGTGAAATGCATGTTTGAAAAGAAAGATTGATTTTAATGAAATATGTAGGTGGCGCTGGTGTTTTTGACTACTGACGCCACCTATACAACTTCGTAAATGTGCTAAACAGTTCAGTTGTTGTCGGAGTACTGTTATGTGAGGTTGTCATTGCATTATGTCAGAGTTAACAGACTTCGAACATGGGCAAATTGTTGGAGCATGTATGGTAGGTGCTCCCGTAAGCAAGGTAGCCGAGGTGTTTAGTGTTTCAAGAGGTACTGTATCGAAGATTTATTCCTGCATATTTGAAAAAAGCGGAAAAAAATCATCTGCTAAATCACAGCGCGGACGAAAGTGTGTCCTGGGTGATCGTGACAACGATCATTAAGGGCAATTGTGACGAAAAATAAGAAGACCACAAGCTGCAAAAGTTACTGCTGAAATGAATGTTGTGTTACCGAACCCTGTGAGTACCAAAACAATTAGAAGGGAGCTTCATAAAACAGGGAATTGCTGGCCATGCTGCAATTGAGAAGCCACTCATCAGTGATGCTAATGCCCGTAACAGGAAAAGGTGGTGTTTAAGTCATAAAGCCTGGACTATAGAGCAGTGGAAGCGAGCAATATAGGTATGTCTGACGAGTCTTCTTTCACATTGTGTTTCCCACTTTTGGCCGAGTTTACGTCTGGAGAACGCCATCTCAAGCCTATAATACAGACTGCTTGTTGCCAAGAGTGAAACATGACGGGGGTTCTGTTATGGTTTGGGCAGCCATATCGTGGTTCTCTGCTAGCCCCATGATAACTGTGTCAGGGCACATGACCGCCAAGACTTATGTGAACATTTTGGCCGATCAAGTTCATCCCATGGTACAAACTTTGTTCCCCGATGGTGATGGTGTCTTCCAAGACGACAAAGCCCCTGTTCACACAGCTCACATTATCCAGGACTGATTTTCTGAGCACGAGGATGAGTTTTCCCATCTTCCCTGGCCACCACAGTCACCAGACCTGAATATTATCGAACCTTTGTGATCTACATTGGAACGGAAAGTGTGTTCTCTTTATCCACCGCCAACATCGTTATCTGAACTTGCCACCGTTTTGCAGGAAGAATGGTATAATATTCCCTTGGCAAACATACAGGAACTGTATTTATCCATTCCGAGAAGACTGCAAGCTGTTTTGGATGCCAACGGGTTTCCTACACCATATTAAGCAAAGAAACATGTTTTTTTAAAGGTGTTTCCATATTTTTGTCCAACCCCTGTATATATACAAGTAGAATATATGAATTAAATATATAAACAAAAAAATTTAAATGATATATGGTACAGGTTAAGTTGTAAAAGCATTAATGATGATAATAATAGCTAAACTTAAAAATTGCACAATTTTTTAATTGTGCAATTTACATAGGATAATACATAAGTACCAAAATATTTATAATTTTTCTATGGATAATACTTTTCTTGGTACTTACGTATTATCGCATGTATAAATGTAGATTTATTAATTACAGATAATTTTTAATACAGTTTTTATATTATTTTGTTTTAAAATATAAAATAGCAATTAAACCCTTCCGGTTTCGAATTTGAATAAGTTGCAGAATTATTTTTTCGGCGGAAATCTTCTGGCTATTGCTTTTAGCACTGATTGAAAACCGTCTTCGCCATAACAGCTTGAGCTTGGTGCCATATAAATTCGATAAGGTATAGTTAAGGATAAGTTTTGTCAGCAATTCCCATCTCTTCTGCACAAAATTTAATTGAGGTTAACTCTTTACACCAACAATAAATGAAGTGCACCGCTGTCACAAATGAAATTCGGCTACCTTCAAACCAATTTCCGGTTCTCACACCGAAATGTTGATTGCACTCTTCGACGTTACATTTCCAGAAGATTTGCTTTCCAAAATACAGTTTCATTTTATGAGAATTTTTACAAGTACGTTCGTTCGGTATAATTCCATATCCCTGCAACAATTCAACAGCATCTTTTTCACTCGCTGGCAGATCCCAAATACCCATAGTTAAAGTATTTCAGGGCATTCAATCTAACCCGTAAGAAAAATAATTTCTTTACGAAAAACTACGTATAACACGTAGGGTTGCCATAAGTAGGGTCGCCAAATTTGGCGATTTATGCGAATTTTGGCCTGGTTGCGTTAATACGTAAGTACTCTTTTTCAGGGTTCGTACACATTTCTGCACACGGAAATTAATTACGTTTAAGGACTTTTAAGTACCATTAATGAAAAAAATTAAAGACCTATGAGCAAATGGGAACTGAATAAATTCAATTAAAAATATTATTCTATGCCTGAATTTCAGTTTTGTAATACCATCCTGAAAATAAAATAGATCCCTAAGTAATATGCATTATTACTAAACATGAATTAACTAACATAATTATTAATAAGTTTGAGAATAAAATAAACTTCATGCAGTTTATCAAGTAGCATTAAATATTTGACACTTATAATACTTGGACATATTTAAAAGAAGCTAAGTGACATGTATGTTTCACTAATAGTTAGCTTTATGCTGAATTTTTTATTTATTTAATTATTTATTTATTTTTTAATGTCTCATTTTGTCACATACTTGGTCAGTCTAGAGGTTTAGCAAACAGTAGGGAGATTTTATGTCAAACGGCATCAGGGTTCATACACATTTCTGCACACGGAAATTAAGTACTTTTAAGGACCATTAATGAAAAAAATTAAGGACCTATGAGCAAATGGGAACTGAATAAATTCAATTGAAGATATTATCTATGCCTGAATTTCCCTTTTGCAATACCATCCTAAAAATAAAATAGATCTTTAAGTAGTATGCATTATTACTAAACATGAATTAATTAACATAATTGTCAATAATTTTGAGTATAAAATAAACTTTATGCAATTTATCAAGTTGCATTAAATATTTTACACTTATAATTGTTAGACATATTTGAAAAAGACAATTGACATTTACGTTTTACTAACAGTTAGCTTTATGTTAATTTTTTTTATGTCTCATTTTGTCACATATTTGGTCAGTCTAGAGGTTTAGTAAATAAGCAGGCAGATTTTATGTCAAATTGAATAGGTTAAAATGAGAAGTAAGATCATAATCAGCATGATTCATAACTAAAAGATTGAATATTGTCACCGCAGCTGCTTGTCTAGAGAGAGACCTGCTGATTAGAACAAACCTGAAAGGCCTGATGTAGGCAAGATTGGCAAGTGTTGAAAGTTAGTCAGGCTCTGTTTGATGCAGTTAGTGTTGTAGCTTCGTGTACATATCCAGGGATTATAACCCAGTTAATATACTTTAAGGTTCCAATAAGCCATTAAAGCACCAGAGGTGATAAGTTGTTTTGTATTATTTGCTAAGTCTCAAGTCTACTAAGTCTGTTTTGCTAAGTCTCAGTAGGTGCATAGAATATGTTTTACTTGAGTTTTTACATTTTTACATTTTATCTTGTGATCTACAGTGAGTATTAATGAAAGGCAATAACTCACTTTAATATGTAGAAGTAATTTTTAAGGGTAAGCAGTTATAAATAATTAAATTAGGTAGTTTGATAACCTTAATCATTATGTATTTGCATGACCACTATTAAATTTTATTTTTTTTTAACAATATTTGTTAAAAAAGCCCTATTAAAATCAAAATCTAATAAAATTTTACAGTTTAAAGTATATGTAATTTATGACACAGATTCTTAAACGACATTAAGATAATTACGCATTAAAAGCTACAGAACATTTATGTTTTGTAACAACAGTCAATAAAATATTTATCCATCATTTTAATTTGAAACCTTCTCAGACATTTTGGCTAGTTTATATTGATTTCCTTCTCTTTAAGCATCTTTTCTAACAATTAGAGATTTGTCGCAATATGCAAATCAATGCTCTCACTGGTTTCTGCGTCTTTATCTCCTAACTTGTCAACCTCTCCACAATGTACCTATGAGGGTTTAATTGATCTGGTAAAAGTTAAATAGTCCTAAACTCCCGACAGGCGTGAAGCATATTATCGCTATGTCTGAACTGGGTTATTCAATTATGGCAAAGCACAC